TAGTTCAATGTTAGAAATGAATGGAGATGATTCCCGTGAATAGTTCTGATATTTTTAATATTAAGAATTATTTCAACCATACTCCAAAAAAGACACATAGGAAATGTTCTTTATGCAAGAAGATGTATCGAGTTAGTACGGCGACAAGTATATATTTTTTAAATAATCATTCATAATTTTTACAAATATTTTATGTGTGTTAATTCAATAAAAATACCAAATTATCAGAGTTGTTAAACCATATTTTTATAAGTAGCGCGCTACCGCTATCGCTGCCCATCAAAAAAAATGTAGCACGCTATTAGCTAGTATTTTTTTTAAAATAACTTTGGTTACTTATTAATATTTTTATAAAAAATAATTATAAATAAATTTGTTTTATTTTTTGTTTATAATGCAAATGCATAACATAATATATAATACATAAAAAGGGAAGTTTTTATGGTTCTAATTATGGCCTTTTTGTCTGCTATCTAGAGCGCTATTACCTATCAATCAATAACAAAAAAGATCCAGCTACTTAACAACTCTGATTAAAATAAATAATTTTAATTTAATTCGATTCTCGACATTAGCCTTCATTAGATGAATCTATTAATAATATAAAATCTAGACCTGTGCGCCTATCCGATGTCTCAATTTACGGCGGCGGTATTTTATGTTTGCCACCGCGAGTAATCAATTATCTTATATATCCTAGACATTTTATTTTTAATAATCATTTTATTTAAATTAAACTTTAGAAAATCAATTATTCCTTCCTTTAATGTTTATCACGGCGGGGCACAGGTCTAATAATATCTAATGGCTTATTAATCAGAATAGGTTTTTATATCATCTATATCCTTAATATTTCGAAACTTTCAATAAGTTTTACTCCCCATTCACATTTTATAAATATTTTTAACGAAGGCATATGAAGTCTATGCATCCGGGAGAATTATCCACCAAATGCATCGAAGTCCCTGATTCATTGTTCGGAGCCAGAAAATTATCTGATACCGAAAATCTATATATGAATAAATTAGTCATAAGATGCCTAATAAAAAATAATTTATCGTTTAATGTATTGGAAAGTGAAAGTTTCAAGGATATGTTCAAATATGTTAATAAAAATATAAAGATTGTCTGTCGACAGACTGGCAAAAAGTATTTGTCTACTATATACCAAAGCGCTAAAGACAACATTATAAAAATTTTAAAAAATGTTAAAGGCCTGATTTCTTTAACCACAGATCATGGACCCAGAATTCTATATCATATTGTGCTATGACTGTACATTTTATTGATGAATTCTGGGTGTTGAAAATTTTTTTATTGGACATTATAGAGTTTCCATACCCTCACAAAGGGGAGGACATATGTGAATTAATTATATCGTGTTTAGAAAACTTTACAATAGAAAAGAAAATATTAACCATCACCCATGATAATGGGTCGAATATTATAGCAGCACTGGATTTAATTAACCAATATTTCCAATTTAAATACAAAAAAGGCATTAACAGTCAGAGATGCCTGGCACATATAATAAATATAATTGTAAAGGAAGGCATCGATTCGTTTTCTAATGAGTTATCTACTGTAGAAAAATTTGTTAGAAAATTGCATAGAAGTTCTAAATGTATGCAACAGTTCATCAAGATTAGTGGTGTGCGAATACCGATGGATGTGGTAACTCGATGAAATAGTAAATACATAATGTTATAGAGTATTAATAAAGTATTATAAAAATATTTAATGTTCAATAATTATTTATTTTTTATAGAATATCCAGGCTGTGATAGAGTTGGAAAATAATATTTTTGGGGAAGAGATTTTTTGCTTAAATAGTGACGAATGCGATTTTTTAAGGCAACTAGAATTATTTTTATACCCATTTTATAAAATAACATGTGAAATATCATCTGAAAAATCCCCTACAATAGGGATGGCAATTCTCTACATCGACAAAATTTATAGGGAGTTAGATAGGCATGCTGCCTATCACTCTAATGAGGCTATTAAAATGGCTTCCATGATAATGTTAAAAAAATGCGCCATATATACATCCCTCATGAAAAAATTTGAAAACTACGTAGGTAGTTTTCTTGACCCAAGGATCAAGAAAATCTTTATTCCTAGTTTTATGAATTCATCCGGATATTATGAAAGATTTAAAGACTTATTTAATAATTATCAAGCTTCATCCAGTCAAGAATATGATTATGAGGATCCCGACTCTACTATGATGTCGGTAAATATATTGAATGAGTTGAGAAGGTAAATATAATTCTAATTATTTATATACAATCATTTATATTTAATATTTAGAGATGCTTGTGTTAAGCAAAATCCGGCTTTAGACGAGATTGAGGATTATTTGGCGGATCCTGTGGCTAAGACAACAGTGGATGTTCTTGGTTGGTGGTCTGGAAATTCCAAGAGATTCCCTAGGTTTTCGAATATGGCGAGAGATTATTTAAGGCAACAAACAACATCGGTTGCGAGTGAAAGATTGTTTTCAAGGGCTATCGATATTTATACCAACAAAAGAAACAGAATGTCATCGTCAACTCTGAAAGAATGTCTTTCATTAAATTCATGGGACATTAATATTTTAAATTTAAAGGAAGATTTATGGAAATAATTTTTTAGCAGATTTTATTTGTACATTTAATATAAAGTGAATGTTTTTTTTATAAATAAAGAATATATATAGTTAAAAAATGCGTCCCTATTTATTTTTTTTAAAATTTATAAAATAGTTTTATCGAATCGACGTAAGATATAAAATAGATATTTTAACTAAATGAACTTGTAATGAAATGAACTTGACTCTAGGGTAAATTCAGACTGTTTTCTAAGTTTATTTTTCATGAATTCCAATACAGAAGAATATTAGCATCTTGTTTTTTATAAGAATTAAATATATGAAATTATTTGACAAAATGTAATGATATCTCAAACAAAAATTTTAAGCTAAATTATATTTAAAATATAGGGCTCGAGTAGAGGGTATATTAGAGTTCTTTATATATTTACCTGTAGTTATAAATAAAACATGTGATAATATACATGAAAAAGTAGGCAAGGCTATAGGCATAAGATGATGTTAATATAAAGGTACAATTTTATTTTAAATATATAACTTTTATCATTCACTATCTAATAAATTTTAACAATTTATATACATTCTTAAATTAATTGTTTAATAGGTTAATATAAAATAAATTGATTTAAACAAACGAATATATAAAATATAAGTTTTATTTATATGAATAAAATTATAATTAATGCTAAACATTTACTTTTTAATTAATTAAACAATTTGATATATAAATGCCATAATAACAACACGCGAGCTTTTAAATTAACATGATTAAAATCTATATTTTTATCGATTTGCATCAATAAAATTATAAAATAACGATTATGACAATTGTCACTTATCTAGGGTACATCTTCACTGAAGGTTTATTTAGATATGTTAGCAATACTTATTTTAGCCTCTTTAAGTCAAAAAAATTTAAAAAACTTTAAAAATAATGATTATGACAATTGTTACTTTTCTAGGGTACATCTTCACTGAAGTTTTATTTAGACATGTTAGCAGTACTTATTTTAGCCTATTTACGTCAAAAAAATTTAAAAAACTTTTAAAATAACTATTATTACCATTGTCATTTATCTAGGGTGAATCTACATTAAATTTTACCTGTTAAAGAAACATATTTTTGCCCATTAGCGTCACAAAAAAATTTTATATGTTCAAAAATACCTACCTATTATGATAATTATCATTTTTCCGGGGAACATCTTCATTGAATTTATAATATAATATCTTTACAATATAAATTATATTATAACCCTTTTGTGTCCAAAAATTTCAAAAATCTTAAAAAATAACGCATATGACAATTGTCGCATTAAAAAAAAGTTTGACATAAATATTAATAAAAAAATAATTTAGAAAAACCACCTCTTTTAATATACTTAAAATATAGATATATTTATAAAAAAAATTATTTAGAAAAAGAAAAACCAGCTCTTTTATATAATCTTAAAATATAGATATATTTATAAAAATAATATAAAAAAACTATAGAAGATTTGACCTAAAAGATTATTTACTTATGATAAAATTAACAAAAGTATTTCTTAAAAAAGATTTAAAAATTTATAAAAAAAATCAACAAAATATGTTTCAAAAATATTTTTGTATTTCAAAAATTATATTTTGCTTAAAATTTTTAGCTCAAAATATGAATATTTTTTTATTTAAAAAAAATCAAATAAATAAATCCATTTTTATTATAAGATCAAAACATATTTGAAATAAAATTAAAAAAATTTTTTGTTTGATAATAATAAAATATTAACATTAAATATAAATAAAATAAATTATTTCACTAAAAATAAATAAATAAAATTCTACATTATTATTTAAAATATCTCAATAACATAAAAATAAATTTTGGCTCTAAATTTAAATTAAACTCAAGCTAACCTCTGAGCCGACTAAGTGAGCCGACTAAGCGAGCCGACTAAATGAGCCGACTAAGCAAGCCGACTAAGCGAGCCGTTTTATCGACTAGAAACTAGGCTCGAGTCATAGCTAAGTCGACTCGGCTTAGCCGTTCAACAACACTACCCTCAATATATTCTCAAGCCAATATTTTACCCACAAAACACATACCTAATGAAAGAAAGATTTTTAAACTTTGTATCCTCCTTCTCCAGTGTGTTTCTTTGCCTCTTTCTCTTGTATCACAGCCTATAGAAGTTTAAATAATAAGACTTTTATGCGTGCAAGTATATGCAGCTTAGAGAGCTACTCATATTATTAATTCCCCCATTCAGTTGTATAATTAGATGGAAATAAGGAATGCCTAGAGTATGGGCCGCCAAATGATGCAGTCACTTACCACGAATTATGATAACATTGAGATATTTCTCATTCTCAAGTCACTTCGTATTAGACAGGTTTCACATTTTTTCTTTCTATGATATCTTTAGTATATTCCCTCTATTTAAAAAAAATATTTTCTTCTCATTTATTTAAAAGTGGTTTACCTTTTGCAGTAAATATAGGCCTAATTTTTTTAACACATAGTAAATTAGCTATTTATAGGCGCTGGTATTTATTACTTGAAAGAGTTCCAGGAAGTAAGATACAAATATAGAAGAGTTGAACCAGTATTTAAATTTTTTGATGTTTTATGTCTATATTTTGTTGAAGTTTGTGGATAAGCTGCATAAACAATATCCAGAATTTGATATCAAAAATAAAAAAGAAACAATTCAAGATATATATGAGGTTAATAGTTGATTATTCTTTGATTTAGTTTGTATTAGAGATCAATTAAAAAATCTGAATTTGACCAATGGGAAAATATTAGAGGGCCTAGATTTTATGAGCCAGAAACACTAAATATTAAAGAAAGAGTTTTATCCAACAAAAATAAATTAGATAGAGGTAAATTTATAAAACATGATAGCCTAGTATTTATATTTGCAGTAGGGATATGCAAAGCCTGGCAAATTTAAAAAAATTAATGGACTGGGTGGGCCAAAAATTTGAAAATTATATTTTTTTTTTGAACTTGACTGAACAATTTATACGTAAAAAATGAGGAAGAGTCTCACAAATCTCTAATTTTTTGTAAAATTTTAATAGCCCTGCTCAGACATTAAAATTTTGATATATTATTTTGAATTTCATACTAATATTTTGATTAATATTTGAAAATAAATTGCAATTAGTTTATTTCTTTGTATCTTGTCTAACTAGATTTATAAATAATTAGTATACTTAAAAAATTAAAATTTAATATATAATACATATTAAACACAATTGATATATAAAACAGTTGTTATAGAAAGAAATAACTATAGATGAGAGATATAAGAGTTATAATTGACATTGGCAAAAAATTTGATATATACATCTAATAATAGGATGGCCAGAAAATTGGTATAAAAAAATTTAGCAAGCAGCAGGGAAACTTCATAAATTTTATAAAATTTTAATTGGCCTATCCAAGTCTGACTTTTCATAAAATTTTAATGGGCCAGGCTGGGTAAATTAAAAAAATTATAATAAACTGTGCCAGGCAAATTATACAAAAATTCTTACCAAACCAAGCATTGCAGATCTCTAATTTATAGTTAATATAATTTTAATAATATATTTTTTACCTAATCTAATACATTCTAATAACACATCACTAAAAAATATATTTGAAATGTTTATATACAAAATACACAATCCCATATGGCATAATATCATTTTTAAGCATGATAAAATTTAACTAGCATATTATGCAATTTTGAATTTTTTTTAGCACTAGACATTTTTATAAGTCACCGCCTCTGCAATATGTATTAAAAAAACCTAATACTTATGACTACTCTTATGCCTGAGGGTGATGTATCTGATGCCACATAGAGAGCATTGATGAGGAATATTCATCTATACCCTTAAATGAAATTTTATCAACATCATATGTTGCTTCCTAAATTAGCCTCCAATTGAATCTGAAGTTGATGATTATATAGATATAACAAGAGATATAACCAAACCAACTTGGCAGCATAAAGGCAATACAAATCATAATAATGAAATCTTTTCTGAGCAATAAATAGATTTAACTCCTCTAGAATTAAGAAGTTTTTGAACAATATATGTTAAATAATTTTGTAGATTATACTAATAAATATTCCTCTCAATATTCTGGCAACAAATCTATAAATATAAATTCCCTGGAAATTGAAAAATTTGTTGGTATTCCTTTTTATACCGGTATTGTAAAAATGCCTTCTATAAGGAAATACAATTATGGAGACCATGTCAAGAAATAGATTTCTCATACTGGGAAAATATTTTTGTATAGATGATAATTAAAATATTATTTTAACAGGAACAATTTTAAAATAAGACTATTTATAAATTCCTTAAAAAATAATTTTAGAAAGATTAAATTGGAAGAAAAGCTCTCAATTAATGAGTTTGGGCTACCTTTCTAAGGAAGATCAAATCTTTGCTAATGAAATAAAAATATTAGCTCTTTAGGACTCTTCGAGAATTTTATTCCTTTTGAAATATATGAAAGGAAATCAACAAATTTGAAAAACACATTTAGTTATAAGTGGAGATATTGTTATTTAACTGCTAGATATGGCGCCTCCAGAGAGAACCCATAAAATCTATTTCGATAATTTATTTTCATCAAATAAATTGGGGGGCAAACTTAAAATTATTTGTTATCTTTTGGCGGACCATCCATTCAAATCGTTTGCGTAATTTTACCCTGAAAAGCGACAAAATAATGAAAAAGAAGGGAGAGGAGCATTTCATTTTTTAACTGATAATAATATTACCATTAGCAAATGGTAAGATAATTAATGTTACTAGCATCTCAAAATTTATTAGAGTATTGCCAAAATCTATAACTAGGAGATGCGCTTACAAGTTAAACATTTATACTTACAAATGCCAGTCATGAGCAAAAATTATTATAAAGGTATAGGAGGAGTCAATTTGCACAATAAGTTGAATTATATCGAACTGATATAAAATGGAAAAGATGCTTGATGATAGTTGGAAAAATCATTTGATGATAATTGGAAAAATCAATAGTAGAAAAATAGAGAAACCATTTCGAAAAAAATGTAGAAAATCTATCACTATTCTCCCAAAAGCCAAGATCAGATTGATAATATTGAACATTGGCTATCGAGCGTTTCTAACAAACTTATAAATTATAAGCCCGTATTATAGGACACAATGCAGCAAATTTAAGATATCTTTATGTCTGAACAATGATCAAAACTGTTTTATTTCTTTCCATACAAAATAATATATATATATAATATTAAATTAATGTACTTCATATAATCCCATTGATGTCATATGGAATTATTGTGTATTTTTGTATAAAACACTAAGCAATTTTTTTTACTGAAAATGTGTGGCTAGAGTACATATATATTATAACTTGATTTAAAATATAATTTATTCACGGGAAAAAAATCGGAAAGGTATAATATCATTATATTTCATATAAATATATATATTCTATTACCACATAGAACTCTCCACTACTACTTTTCAAGACACCCTCCTTACTTTCAAACTTTTCAAATAAGATTTTATCTAGAATAGCATGAGGCACTTATATTAATTCTCATCAAACAACGATACACAATGCAGACTCCTTCATACCTTGCCATTTCAAACTTGTTAAAATCTCCAATTTCATGTAAAAATCTGAATTTATTTTACTTTTGTTCTGCTGCAAAAACTCTTCAACATGCCTCTGATGACACTAACAAGTTGGCCCCTCCAAAACCTGTTTACCCCACTTACCCCACGCTCTTTGTTACGACTCCTGTCTTTTACACGAACGCACCACCACACTTGGGACATCTCTACACAGCCGCCTTGGCTGATTCCCGATTTCGGTGGGAAATCTTTAAAGGGCCCTCTAAAACGTATCCTGATCTCATGAATAAGATCAATGACATCACTGCGAAAACCGAAAACAGTAGTATTAAAACCCGATCAGTTGATGGGTATATTTTTGCAACTGGAACCGATGAGCATGGAGGAAAAATTGCCAAAGCTGCTTTAGGATCAAGAGGTTAAAATATTCATTTTAATATTTTTAACTGATATTCGTAGTGTGCAATAAATTCTTTATTTTCTTTTTCTAAATTCCTCTATTATTTTATGTATTCAAATTTTCCAAAAAATACAAAACTAATAGGTAAACATTTTACTAAAAATATAAAATAATAAAATAAATATTTTATAAAAATATAAAATAATAAATTAATTAATATATATAACATTTATCCCCAATCCAATTGGTTTCGTCCGTATTCTTTTGGGATATCGATCTTGATCTATTGTAGTTTCTGAGTTTTGAGTAATACTTCCTTCAACTTCTTGACTTGTATCATTCTCCTCACTCTCCTTTCGGTATTTTATAGTTATTATTTTCTCGTCGGTTCTCTCTTCTAATTCGTACTCTCGGTTCTTTTCCTTAATTGATCAGTATGACATATAATCGTTTTACCTTCTATAATTCATATCGTAGTGATCCTAGTATGCTTTAACTAATAGCCCTTTCCCATTTTTTTCTTTATTATTGTAAATGCATGACCACACTTTTTTATTTATCTCGAATTTTTCAGTATAGTATTCTAACTTCTCCTTTTTGTTCCCCCGTTCGAATATTTGTTCTAACAATCTTCTAGGTTTAATTTTTAACAATATTTCTGCTGGACTTTATTCATTTTCTGCCATGGTTTATTTCGGTAATTTTATAGGAATGTAGCTAAACTGGTTCCGAATTCCTCGTTTCTTTTATTCGTGCTCTATTTAACATTTCTAACTAAACGTTCGGCTATACCGATAGTCTGTGGGTGACATTTTTCATAAAAATCAATTCTTTACTACATCTTGGGAAATCTGAATCTGGTGAAGATATTTCTTAATATTTTTATCTTGCTTTCGAAGGTGGTACTAGTTATAAGGAATATTTCTTGGCAGCGACTGCTAGCATCTACCACTACCAACTAATAATGATTTTAAAATGTTCCAGCATAATCAACTCGGTGCCATGCTTTTGATGATTTTGGCCAATTTTGAATTGATGTCTTTTTAGGCATATCGTGTTGTTCCTGGCATTCTCTACATTTTCGACCCATGTTTGTATATCTTGGTTTATATTAGGGCACCATACGTTGTCTGGCTCTCATCTTCATTCTTACTTTACCAATATGTCATTGATGTATCATGTCTAAAACGTTGTTTCGGTATTGTTGTAGTATTATCATTTTAGTCTCCACAGTAAACAATCTTTCTCTGTTGTTATTTTTTTCTCTTCTATGGCTGTACTCATTAAAGTATGTATCATAGTTTATTGTCCGTCTACATATATACTTTAGAGAGTACATCATCTTACATTGTTTTTCTATCAATTTCGTTTGCATTCAAAGGTGTTTGTTCTCCCACTTGTATTTGATCTAGTGTATCTTCTTTTGATATTGTGGTTCCAGGTATAGATAATCGAGATAACATGTCAGCATTGGCTATTTGTCGGCTACTTTTGAATTCAATTTTATATCCATCTTTGTATTCTGGCAGTAGATGTTGTTGATATATCTTTTCTTGTATGAACTCATTAATGGCTTGTGGTCTGTTTGTGTTGTGAACTTTTTTCCATATATAAATTCCTTGAATTTTGTAACCCCAAGTATTAGTATTGTTAAACAGCTCGTTTTGAGTCGATTATAAAAACGGCGAAATCAATATTTTAACCAGAAAACAATTGTCTAAGCATGGAGAGTTCGATAATAGATGTCTAAACCTTTGTGCCATCTATGAGTGAAATCTTCAGGCTTGCGTATTATTTTTGTGGATAATATATTGAGTTAGCCGTTTTTAAAAATCGGCTCAAATTGACCGTTTAACAACACTACCAAGTCTGATGGCAAAAGCTTCTCTTTCTATTTGGCTATAATTTTTCTCGGCCTCATTTTAGTCTCTCCTTTCCTCTATATGTGATATTACTGCCCCATTTCCTATGACTGAATCATCTGTTGCTAGTATAATGGGTAATTTTGGATTATAATATGATATTTGAGTACTACTATTTCTTGCTTTATTTTTTTATACCCGTCTTTGTATTCATTTGTCTATCTCCAAACTACTGCTTTTTCTAATAATTTATTTAATGGTTTAGCCTTTTCTGCAAAATTTGAAATGAATTTTGAATATTGTTACCTAAGTACTCGACATTTTATTTGAAAAATTTACATTTTTCTATCTTTAGCTTGATACCATTTTTGTCTAAACATTTTAATACCTTTTTAAAATTTGTTTCGTCTCTCTATTTTTCCCAGTTATTATAATATCATCTAAATAACAAGTTACTCCTTCAAAACCTTTCAATAAATTCTCGATTGCCCGTTGAAATATTGTGAAGACTATATATCAAAAGGTAATCTTGTATATTTAAATAATCCTTTATGCGTATTGATTACAAGATATTTTTGAGACTCTTCCCCCCACTTTAATTTGAAAATTGGCATCTGTATTTGGGTATGAATCAATATTTATATTTTTATTTATAGTTCTTTTAAAATCCCCGTAGTAATGTTTTATCTTTCGTTTGAATAATTACTGTGGGTAATGCATAAAGTGAATGATTAATTTTTTCTATTACTCCTATTTTTAGCAATCAGTTCATAACTTCTTCAACTTTTTATTTTAATGCGTATGTACAGGACGTGATTTACAGAAATTTGGTTTCTCGATTTTTATATATATTTGTGCCTTAAAACCCTTCAAACAACCCAATTCTTTGGTAAATAATCGATGAAATTCATTTTATATATTTATGTTGTTTATTTATATTGCCCTTTCAGGTATATCAGTCATCCTTGGAAATTTAGTTATCCAGTTTCTTCCAATTAGATTTTTTGTATATCCTTTTTTGTAATTATGAGAGGTGGTTCCAGTGGCGTAGCCAGTATTAATCCATTGGGGGGGGGGTTAAAATTTTTTTGAGGACGAAACCCCCAAACCGCATTTTAAAAATTTGCCAATTTTATGCTTTATTGGTGTCTAACCAGTATAGTAGCCGGCATAAATGAAAAAATATTAGTAACAAAATTTTAGCCAAATTTATGATTAATACGCGATTGAAAGCATTATTCTGAAAATTTTATCAATTTTTAGTCAATTGTAAATTAATTCAATCCATTCGGTGTAGAAAGAATAATAAAATCACCTCCCTAACCTCCCATTTTTTATGATCACTCAATATATCTTATTTTATGTTAGAAATAATTATTTTAATTAAATTTTTGCATATAACAAAATTTTGCAGAGAATTTCATTATAGATTTTATTTATTATTTATACAATAAAATAAATTTCAAAATGTATAAATTTTATACAGATTATATTAAAAATTTATTCTAAATAATTATATTTTTAAAAAATAGAATTACAATAAAATATGAGTAATTCTTGTGCGGTATTTAAAAAAATCTAATTTAACGATTATAATATAATTAATACAAATGAGTATATTAATAAAATATAAATAATTCTTATTAGAGATCCGCAAAAGTAGGAAAATCGGGCCGGGTCGGGCCTTAAATTTTTTTAAAAATATATCTATAAATTTATCAATTTTATGTTAAATTTTTATGTAAAATAAAAATATTTGATTTTATTTAAAAAAACTAGACGCCATATAACATATATCTTTTATTTTGAGTAATTATAAAAATGAATTACTATATTTAAATAAATTCGGGCCCGGCCGACAAAAATTTTTTTAAAAAAATCGGACTTTTTTAAAATAATTTCGGGCAGGGCCGGGCTTGAAAAATTAGGCCCGATGCAGATCATTAATTCTTAGTGCAAATGCAATATTTGTATTAAAAATAGTATAAAATATATAAATATTATTACTAAGAATTCATTATAATTACGTTTTGAATATAAAAATTTTATGACTAAAATCATATTATAATAATATAGCAATTTAATAATTTGAATTTATAAAGAGAGGTCTACTTTTCTCTGATATTTGACTAATTCATCTAGAATTAAATTTTTATCTAGAATAATCTCCTTATAAATAAAACGGCCTTCACCGGTACTATTTCTTAAATAGGTTTTTAACCTTTTCAAAGTTGAAAAAGACTCAAAGTTGAAAAAGACCTTTCATTAGTGCAGGTGCTAATCGGTAAGGTAGCTAAGATAAAAAGCAATGTTTTGATATTAGGCAGGGAATCTAAAGTGCAATTATACATGGAGGCCTGCAAAGCATATTTTGGTCTCAAAGAGTACTCTATTCTGTCAAAATTTTTATACCAAAATTCGACATCACAAAGTAAGTTATCTTACGATCCTGATAATTCATCAGAATAAAACTCTGAGATTTTCTTAATATCCTCTCGCGTTTAAATGTATTTAGACTCAACCGGCAAAAGAAAATAAAAGCTGTTTAAAATAAAATTGTGACTAATAAATCTTTCCTTTAATTGAAATAAAAATGTATTTTATAAAAATCCTCAATCGTAAATGCATCAATATTTAAGCGATTGGACTATCTAGAAACTACTCTAGGTTTAAAATGTTTAATCCCAAACATATTAGCAATCACCTTTACTTTCTCATTATATTTCCGAAATTAAATGATTTTTCTTTTATTTAAAAATTATAAAAAATTAAATAAAATTTTTAAAACTATCTAATTAGTTTAACAATATAAATTTTATTATTAAATTTATAAATATCTAATTTAACTTTGCGAGAAAAAATTTACAATATATTTTTATTGTTATTTAATATTTTACATAGAATTTTTATATATTTTTAAAACATGTTATCATTTAAAATTAAAAATTCTTATTTGTTTTTTTAAATATATTTCATTTTCATATCGTATATAATTTTATTTATAAATTGAAACCATTTTTAAAATAAAATTATTTGCAATAAGAAAAAAATTTAAAAAATTTCTTTTTCGAAGGTTATGGGAAGGGGCTTCAACCCCCCCCCCCCCCTTCTCTATGCCCCTGGGTGGTTCTAATGTTCGTCCTTTATATTGTACTTTACTATAGTCTGACCTATTACGGATATATTGGTACCTGTATAGCTTTAAGTTAGCATACTATTATTTTTCCAATCTATTGCATTTATTATGCTTATCCCATCTTCTGTATCTAATTCCATTTTGATATTGCTGTTGTTTAGTTTGTTATCCACCCAAAATCTGGATTATATTCATGTTGTATTAATAAAATTCACTATTCCCTTTCTACAGGCTCGAGCAATGTGCCCAATTTTGTTGCATTTATAACAAGTGACATTCTTGAAAGGACAATTTTTCCTTCTATGGTTTTCGCCGCAAGAGTGGCCCTGATTTGGTTTTTTTTAGCTCGTACTATAGTTATTATATTGTTTTGATTTTTTATTATTACTTATATTATCATGTTCATCTTCTAACTGATCAATTGTAGTTTCGTCTTTAGTATTAATTTTGTGTTCTTTATAGCTATTTCTACTGCAGTAGTTATTTGAATAGCCATATTTATATCTAGATCATCCTCGAATAATAATCAGGGATGTGAACATGAACCCTCGTATTTTGGCCGAACCTGAATCCGGACCCTTTTTAAAAGTGGAGGGTTCAAGGATTCTAGGTGTCATAAAAAATTTTAAAATAAAAATATTTTTTTAAAAAATAATATAAATTCTTTTTTTGTGGAATCATTTATTTTATCTTCGCGTTTTTCTATCAATTTTCTTCCTGGACTTCCATTTTATTTAGAGATTGATATTATAAATTATTTTCCAGTGTAATAATATTTTATTATGTAAATTTATTAATATGCTATGTTATAAAAATACGTTGATTATTTTGAAAGTTTATTTTATAGTACAAGTAATTATATTTTAATTTAAATAATAATGCACAAACACGTTGGTCCTCAATATGTATGAAGCTAGAACGATTATTAAGTTTGAAAGTTTTCTGTAATGATTTTATTATAGGAGCATGTGCATTTTGTCGGAAGATGATTGGTGCCAAATAAAGGAACTTACTAGTGTATTAGTTCCTTTAAAAATAACAATATTAAAATTACAATCAGAACAATTATGTTTATTTGATTTTAGGGCATATGTATTAGATGCCGATTAGATTTAGAAAAATTTACAGTCTTTTTATACGAAATATTAGAAAACGTGAAAATTCGAGAGCAACACAACAATATCTATTTAGACCCTCGATATCAAGTTTTATTGAGTATTGAGCAAAAACAAATGGCTAAAGATTATTTTAAGGATTTATGGCATAAGCAAAACTCTATTATTTACAATATATTGGAGGCTACGACAATACCTATTGGTTGTATTGATAATAATAATGATAGCAACATTGATGATCTTGAAATTATACTTTTAGATAGAAAAAAAAAATCAAATTATCATCAGATAGAAAGGAGGATCAAAAAATGCCTATTGCATCTTTATTAGTAAAGTTCTCAGAAGTTAAGAGAATAAATAAGGATATAAATATTTTAAAATACTGGGAAAAAATTCTTTAATATATCCAGAATTATATATCTTATCTAGAATCTTCATGGCTGTACCGGCGACACAAATACAATAATTTTATAAAGATAACTATCTATTTTAGGTAAGGGTAGAACGTGAATTTTCATCTTTGAAATATATATTGTCTACTTTACGTGGAAATCTCAAGGATGATATATTAGAAGAAATTATGATTGTGCGAGAATAAAACATTTAAAAATATAAATTATTTCATTTTTAAATTTTTTATTTGTAAATTATGAATATGTAAATATGTAAATATAATAATAAATGAATTTTAACAAAATCTTATTTTCAGTCAATATTTTTATGTTCCCTGAACCCGAATCCTGGACCCAGGTCCTTTCAAATTTTATTCCTGTACCCGGACCTGGACTTTTTTTTGTCGAAGGGTTCACATCCCTGATAATAATTTGTAATATTTTAGGATTTTTTAGTCCAAATATGAATTTATTTCTTAAAGCATTATTCAAATATTCTCCAAATTCACAAGTCTTTGATAATTTTCCAAGATTTTGTATATAGTCTATTAATTTTTCCTCATTTTTAGATTATATTGATAAAAATTATATATATCTCTCTACTATTATATTAGGTTTGGGATCAAAAAATTTGATCAAAATATCATGTATTTCTAATACCTCTTTGTTTCCCGGACGCACATAAATTACCAATATTTTGTAAGTATCACCTCCTATTGTTGTTAATAAAAGTGATTTTTCTTGTGATGATGTTAAACTTGGTTGTATAATAAGCTTAAATCTGCTTATTAATACTTTTATAGGATTATATCTGCTTATTAATGGAATACTGGATTTTTTTAGCACTTAGGTATTTTTACTAAGTTTTACATATGTTTTCTTTATTTTATCTTTTTCGATTTTTCAAAATAATAATTCTTCTTTTTCATATATATAAAAAAACATATATTCCAAAACATTATACATAAAAAATCAATAATCCAAAAAGAAATATAAAAAAAAATATAATATTACAACAGGTTGGGTTTTTAAATTCTTATAAGTCGTACCAGTCTTTGTAGCACAGATTTGAATCGTTAGATTTTTTAAATGACTGCGCCATTCTTTATAGTAGCATTAACCAATATTCGTAGTGTAGAAATTGCAATAAATTTTTTATTTTCTTTTTCTAAAATCCTCTATTATTTTGTATATTCAAATTTTTCAAATAAATACAAAAAGAATTTCAAGGTAATATTTTATTAATTTACTTTGGGCTAAACTTTTAATCATTTTTAACTTCTTTATTTTTACTCTTTTTTATCAGTTCTCTTATTTAAACTTTAAGGTGGAAGTGTTTATTAAGAAAGATATACCACCCAATAAAATATTTTGATCTGTAAGAGGGTTTAAATTAATTATCTAGTATTTGAAAAATGAGTTAATGAATATTTGAAAAATTATATCTCGAATAGAGTTAGCTTTTAGCTTTGACGAAAATAAATCAGCCATCGTTCAAAAGTATTGCGACGATATTTCATGCCTATTTAAAGAACTCTTCGATTCATCTTCCATCACCTATACTACTTACGTTAGAACTACTTCTCAAAAGTTAAAAACTACTTCTTTTTTTTAAAAAAAATAAAGTTACATTACTCAATGATAGGAACGATATAAAGAATGAAATAAAAAATCACAGGGGAAGGAACTGAATTAGAGAAAGGTTGAACATAAAATACTAATGCTGTTAACGCTACTTTTAAAAAATAGCCCGCTAAAGCCACAGTTACTTTCTCCCAAAAAGTAGCTTTGTATTTTTAGCTACTTTCTCATAGCGTCGATATTTAAGTAGCCACTTTAAAAATTATATATAATTTTTTTTCTTCATAAAATTAACGGTTTTCACAATAAGTATTAATTGATCAATTTTGTACTAATTTTTCAGAAAGTTTTTATCTAGAAAATAACATCTTATTACCCCCGAAACACCCTTCGCCAATTAAATAGTTTCTTATCGGAAGAACTGGATAGATAGAGGCATTATATTTATAAAAATAGGGGTTTGAGGAAATTATCTAGGTCTGTTATTGATGATCTAAAAAGTTAAGTTATTTATATAATCAGTATTATTTATAAATATCATCAAAAACTTTAAATGCCTTCTCATTTTGTTAGGTAATCTTGTTTTTAATGTTGAGATGAGACTGACTAGGGTGAAATAAACAGCTCCTCAGCCAATTTACAAATGAAATACAATAGTATTTATAGTTTTTTTGATGTTATAAGTAATTGAATACAAACAATAACAGAGGAAAGGATTTGTAGAAATATTTTTTTTAAAAAATATATATCCATATTATTTATTCAAATTACAAAAAATAAATTATATTCATCATTTTAAAATATTAATTTTTTCGGTCAATGTATTTAAGTAAATATATCTAAATGTTATAATATAATTAGGCAAGAACATATATAATTTTTTAAATATAAAATTAATAGTAACGTTAAATGTTAAACTGATTGAAGATAGAAAAAGAATAGAAGAAGTTTTGAAAGATATCGAAAACGGCAAAGCAAATTTGGGACGGGAAATTATTTGATGCAGTTGATAAAATTTAGGATTAAAAAGAATAATTGCGATAGTAGGCCTTTTTCATAAGAAAAGAGATTCTTCGGGTTGTTCGGTCTCTTTGCCGATTCATCTCCCTAATTCTCTAAAAAATACTTCAAGCTTTACTACGGAAAGTCTTTAGTATACAGCAAGCAATGAGTATGAATGTTTAAGAATCGATAAAACTATATTAGACTATTTTCTGAGACGGCAAGTGCGAAGGTATCGACATTACGTTTGGATCAATGCAGGTATTAATTAAAATTTATAGCTAAACAAGTAGCGCATTTTAGTTATTTATACTAAAAATGTAGCCTGCTACTTTCAATAGTTACTTTAACAGCATTGATGAATATACCACCAATAATAATTTTTGAGTCTATTTTTATAAATTAAAAGGTCTATGATGCACGTGAAGTTTAAAATGATACTACATTGCTTGAACAATTAATATTTTGACTATTTCTAGCCATTTGGCTCCACCTGATTTTTAAATTTATTTTTTAATCGTGATATTTAATCAGGAGGAAAAGAAAGATTGGGAATAGAGAAGATATGGGCAAAACGATCATTATTTTGCATTTTTATCATAAAATTTAAAAATAAAATTTTTCAAAAGTAGCCAAGCCCAGATTCACCTACCCGGCTCTAGCCCTCCCCCTAACCCATGCGGATTTTTTACATTTTCATTATTTAACGGCCTCTGAATTTTTAAAATTTTGTTATTTTGAATAATTTTTGCCGTATTTTGTAAATTATTTCTAAAGGAAATGGGAAATATATGTTACAAAAAAATAAAGGTTTCAATACCCACATACTTCAAATTTTTATAATTTACTTGTATATTTCAAAAGCGGCACAAATGACTCCTTCCTGGCCGGTCTTTCTTTTTGTACCGGTCTACTGTCCTGTATTGCAGATCTCTAATATTGATTATTCATTTATTTTTAAACTCAGCTGTAACATGATTAGGTTTACAGAACTTTTTACAAACCTCTTTTCTAGGATATCACGATTAGAAATGAAATTTAAAAAATCAGGTGGAGCCATTTGGCAAGAAATAGCTAAAAAATACTTTGCCATACAGGTATATTTAGCAGACATAAAATATAATTTTAACTGTCGACCTCTATTTCGTTGGAAGAAGAACGCATCTAAATCCAAGCGTATTAAATTCTTTATTAAGTTTATATAAAAAATACTATAACCTTTTTAATATCAGATATCACATTTATATTTTGTAATTAATCGAAAAAATTTATATACAAACTACAGATTATCTGTTATTATAAAAATGTATCTATTAATTCTAGAAAAATTGAGCTCAGGAATTGAGCCGCTCAAGTCTGAACTGTGACTTTGTTGCCGACCTAATTTGGCTCTGCAGCCAACATAAGATGGCTTTGCCGACTTAAGGTGAATTAAGAGTCGAATAAAATAGGATTAATCAAAGTTCACTTTGAGGTCAGATGACCTGAGTTGTAGCGAAAAAAAGTCATTTAAAAACACTAGCTAAACTCCTACGACATACTTATACAAACACTTGGGCTAAAAAAATAAATCGGGCCTGACAAATTCGGACATTTAATTTTTTTGGAAATCGAGCAAGTCTGACTCGCACATTATTTTTTTTAGGACCGACTGTTAGAAAATGATTGATTTTTTTGATACCTAGATGTCAAAAAGGTCCAATTTAGCAGAGTTTATTAAAGTAGCAAGCTACTTGTAGTGCGCTATCTTTTTTGGTAGCTATAGCTATTAGCGCGCTATCTTTTTTAGTAGTTATGGCTAATAGCGCGCTATCTTTTTTAGTAGCTATGGCTAATAGCGCGCTCCTTTTTTTTGAATTTAAAATATGAAAATTTAAATATAATATCATAATTAAATGTAATTTTTATGATTTATTATTTAATTTTGAAATTGAAATATATTTTTAATTTGTAATTTATAATTTATATTTTCAATTTGTTTTATAAACCCAAATCACGTGTAAATTATTTAAAATGATCCAAATTTGAAAGTGAGTCAGACGATGATATTAATGAAATTGAAGATACCCGGGAAGAAAATGTTCTTAATAAACAATAATACAAATTTCCCATTTCCAAAATTGAAAAATATTTTGAAATTAATATAAAAGCTAAAACTGGCTATAAATTTATTTGTTTAAAATGTAAAAAAAAAATATCCTCAAATCAAACCAGTAGCTATAACCTCAAAAAACACCTAAAGGTAATTGTCATTTTTAAATTCTAGTAGTATTTATTTTATAAAAATATTCATGGTAACAGTTTTAAGTAAATAGAAAAACATCTAAATAATTTTCATATAGGCGACTCTACATCCGAAGACCAATTCAATTCAAACCAAATTGATTAATAATGCACATGCCAATATTTCTCAGAAACTGGCTGATAAAGTTATTGTTGATTTTATAATTGACACAATTCAGCCAATGTCTTTGGTTGATAATCCAATTTACCATGATGATTATAACTATCCCCTGCTACAACAATTTTATGTCGCCAGACACTAATGTATGAGATAACAGATAACTTAAAAGTGATGAAAAATGCTCTAATACCTAGTCATCAGAGATGCTTATGCCATAATTTGAATTTGATAGCAACAGTGGGTGCTGAAGGAACCCTAAAATGAAGATTTTAAAAGGGCAAGATCCACTTTTTATAAATGTCAAACTTTATGGAATAAGCAGAACAAATATTCTAAAGGCAGCCATATTTAAAAAAAAATTAGGCGGGTATTTATTAACTCCAAACCACACTGATGGAATTCACCTCCCAATCAAATTAATAGCTATGGATGAAAGATGATTAGAAATGAATTATGTGATCATGTTGGAATTCAATATATTAACGATGAAGAGCATATTTTTATAAAAGAGTATACAGAAGTAATTCTAACATCATAATTTTTTAGGTTATGTAATAGCTCTTTCCCTTGAAATTTTGAAAGGTGAGGATAATGTGGAGATGGGGTATTATGTTCCTACTTTAAGTATCCTAATTACAATTACAGAGATTGAATAATCTAATCTTATGCCAGCCCCTAGTAGACTCTATGTTAAAAGGCATTGAGAGAAAGTAAATAAAATTTATATTGTTTTGATTTTGACTGAATAATTTATACTAATTTAAAGTTAAAATTTATAAAATTTTATGATTAAGATATATTTTAATACACTACCTTTGTAACTTTTAGATTCCCCAATCTATACAATGATGATAATGTATTAGCTGCAATGATTTATCCCAATTTTAAACTAAACTGGCCATAATCAATTCCGATGAAAGATCAACGTAATAAGCTCATGGTAAAGTTGAATAGTCTCATACCTAATAAAGATGGCCTAGTTACAATCACAAAAATGACTTCTACTGATAATTTTTTTTGAAATAATAGATAATAATATAATAGAAAATACCCTGGACTCATTTTTTAAATATAAAAATACTCAAATGAGTATTTTTGATAATTTTTCTTATATTAAAAATATGTATATAAAATTAAATACTGCCTTGCCCTCAAGTGATGTTGAGAGATTATTTATAAGGCGAAATTTATACTTTCTGATCGTCGCTCTAGACTTGGGGATGATAATATTGAAATGATTTTATTATTAAAATGCAACAAAATAAATAAAAATTGAATATTACCATAAATATTTATTTTTATTACATAAATTTTTTTATAATCAAAACTATAAATGTTGATTTTTATATATATTATTTACTATACAATTAATAAAACAAATTTGTTTCTAATTTTTTTTATAAAAAGCAGATATAGCTACTTTTAAAAATAGTAGTTAATAGCACTACCTTTTTTTGATGGGTAGCGATAGTGGTAGCGCGCTACTTTTAAAAGTAGTGTTTAACAACTCTGCAATTTAAGACTCTTATATATATCACATTTCCCCCCCCCCCATCCTTTCACACTATTTTTCATTCCGCCTTAGGCACAAGGCCGTGGTTTACTGGTTATGGGAAAGACTTTTTTCAGCCGGCCACATTTATCCCGGATATTATCGGGGCTGGTACGATTTGGTTAACGAAGAATTCGTCCCACCTCAAGAAACTATAATCGATATTCGCTACAACGATGACCATCATTTGAAAGGTTTAAATAACTTTAAAAGCGTACTAATGAAAAAGATTAGAAGGAAGGAGTTCTAAAGATAATTTGAGGCAAGATTCATTAATCCAATAAAAAAAATTTTTTTTATCACATTTACATTAATCAATTTTTAAGGCTTTTAAAAGCGAAATACTTTTTATTAAACTTAATAATATTTAACATCTATTATAAATAATTAAATATACCACAGTTGGGTATTTGATTAATTAAATACAATTCGATCGATTAACCGGATATCATCTTTATTTTTTCTTTCCTTAATGGCGATTTTCAGGTTTACACCTGTAAGTCAGCTTCCCCTCTAATTTTTCTTCTCCATTTTTGACAGTCTTTAACATAATATTTGTTAAATTCATTTTCCTCATATCCTCCGCTATCACTTTTAGCCACGTCATCTTAGGCCTTACTCGAGTTATATTACTTCCATCAAGGTGCATTTATTTACCTAGACATTTTTTGTCTTACGTTCCACATGCCTAAACCATCTTAGTATATTTCTTCTTCTTACCACTCCAATCGCTTCTATTTCATTCTTGTTAGTTTCTTTCTCTCAAAGATATAATTCATTCATCTAATCATCCTCATTTCCGTTCTTTCTAATTTAGCTTTGTTTCACCCATAAACGAAACAACTCCTCACACAGCTTATATAAACTTTTCCATTTCACTTCAGAGATTCGTTTTTATTTATTAGGCTAGACGGCATCTCTCTGAACTTCATATATGCTTGCCTGATCCTTGCAACAACGGTAGAATCTACGCTTAAGCATATCACTCAAATAGCAAAAATTTTCCACTTTTTGCAGTGTGGACCCATTACCAATATCCAAAATACCATTTTCTACGTTATCATTATTATCTACCCTTTTTATGCATGTTCAACAAATAAAAGTCACTCTTGCTAACATACACTTCCTTTTCCCCCACTATATCCTTTATGCACCCATCTGGCATCTGGTCATTGGATTCAATTTCTAGCTACTCCTTTCCCACATGCACCACAAGACCAGTTGCCGCATTCCTCCATCTTCATATTGTCCCCACCAATCATCATCTTTGTCTTTACTACATTCATTTTCAGACCCTTTGCTTCCATCGTCTAGTAATTTAATCCTCAATTCTTCCTCGCTGTTTACCATTAATATAAAGTCATCTGCATATGTTTATATGAAAGACCTTCATACATTCATCTAGCCACCAGGTCCATTACTAAATAATGGACTCAGCACAGATCCCTGATGAAGTTCTACTTTCACTTCAAAGCTTTCACTATCTCCATCATCCGTCCATACCGCAGAACCAGCCATTATTTCACACCTGATTTTCTCAAGGCCCATCTATTAACCTCATGCGACACTCTGTCAAACGCAAAATATAGTTTTTTTTCCTTTGCAAGATTAGTATAATAGTAAAGAAAATAGTGATAAAGATATATTCAAGGGGGCGAATAGCGAATGCGCAAGAAGATCAATGGGGTTTGCTAAGAACATGGAGTGCTTGGAAGGAAGGAGAAATATGGCCCAGATGGCAAAAACAGGGTGTAGTAGGTGTTAAATGTTTAAAACATATGGAAGGAAAAATGGGGATTGATAGTAGTGGTATTAAGAACATCTGGAAGGCTGATATGGAAAAACTTTTAAACAAAGAGAATGAATGGGATAATGAAATTAGTTGTGCAAAGGTAGAAAGTCCAGGATGTAGATCTGGCAAGAATGAAATTACGAAAGCATTGAAAAAGATGAAAAAAAGGAAAGCAGCTAGTTTAACAAGAGTAGTGTTTGATGATTTAGCGATTAAATGTTTAATGAGTTTATGCAATCTAATTGTCACACAAGGAACTACCTATGTAAAACCAAACCACATTTCATCAATTTTCATTTGTTCCCTTATCCTAGTCCCTAATATCTTCTCAAATACTTTCATAGCATTTCTAAGAGTTTCTTGGCATAAACTTTCTTTTAGTGATCCTTACACCTTTGAAAGTGAGATTTCCTATAACATGTCGGTACTGCTCAATACATTCTTCCCCCGGTATCGCTTTCACATTTTTTACTATGCACCTATCATACAAATCTCCACACTAAAATAATCTACAGCATTTTTAGTCACCAGCTTTCTCTGATTCTTTCTTAAACATTCTAATACAAACAATCATATGCATAGCATCATCATAATCCAAAATTCTCTCCCATTCCGGATTTCTCGTGACCAGTGTTGTTAAACGCTACTTTTAAAAGTAGCGCGCTACCGTTATCGTTTTCAAATGAGTAGCGCGCTATTAGCTTGTTTAAAAAAAAAGTAGCTAAAGCTACTTTTTACGCTATTTTGATTTTTTTTTAAAATATTTTTTACGTAACTTTATTTCCACAAATAAAATATTGGTATAAAAACATGACTATAATTTGTTACATATATATATATATATAATTTATTTATTATTGCACCTTAATAATAATAACATTTTGGTACTGTCATCCCCAAATCTAGAGCGATGATCAGAAAGTATAAGCTTTGCCATACTAAATAATCGTTCAGAACTAGCACTTGAGCGCAACGCAGTATTAAATAATAAACACTTTTTATATGAAAAAAATCATAAAAATATTTAAATGAGTATTTTTAGATTTAAAAAAAGCATCTAGAGATTTAATAATATTATTATTTATTTCAAAAAAATCATCTATGGAAGGCCGCGGTTTCGATCTTGCTATAGTATTAGTATCGTGGTTAGGCATGGCACTTTTTAACGTTACCATCAGCCTATCAAGTTGCCCTTTAGATTGTTAAATTATTGTATGGCCAATTTAACTTGAAACTAGGATGAACGATAGCAGCTATAACATTATCATCATCATACAGATCTGGAAATCTAATTTATATAAAGCGATTGTATAAAAAAAAGAAGAATACCTTTTTAATTTTCAAAATTTAAATTTATCTGAGATTTAGATTCATTTATAAAAAATATTAAAATAGCATTAAATTATGGTAAATAAAGATTTTAAAACTAAATCTCAGTTAAATTTAAATTTTGAAAATTAAAAAGGTATTTTTCTTTTTTTATAAATACAATCGCTTTATATAAATTAGATTTCCAGATCTGTATGATGATGATAATGTAATAGCTGCTATCGTTCATCCTAGTTTCAAGTTAAATTGACCATAAAATAATTTAACTGAATCTAAAGGGCAACTTGATAGGCTGATGGTAACGTTAAAAAATGCCATGCCTAACGATGATACTAATACTATAGCAAGATCGAAACCGCGCCCTTCCATAGATGATTTTTTTGAAATAAATAATAATAATAATGTTATTGAATCTCTAAATGCTTTTTTTAAATCTAAAAATACTCATTTAAATATTTTTATGATTTTTTTCATATAAAAAGTGTGTTTATTAAATTTAATACTACGTTGCGCTCAAGTGCTAGTGCTGAACGATTATTTAGTATGGCAAAGCTTATACTTTCTGATCATCGCTCTAGATTTGGGGATGACAGTACCGAAATGTTATTATTAAAGTGCAATAATAAATAAATTATATATATATATATGTAACAAATTATAGTCATGTTTTTATACCAATATTTTATTTGTGGAAATAAAGTTACGTAAAAAATATTTTTAAAAAAAATCAAAATAACGTAAAAAATAGCTAATAGCGCGCTACTCATTTGAAAACGATAGCGGTAGCGGTAGCGCGCTACTTTTAAAAGCGTTTAACAACACTGGAGGAGGCCCACTAGGTACTTTGGAAACCTCGCTCATGATTGGTTGTAATCATTAGATTTTGAAGCGAGGTTTTTTACAATCGGATATCTTTCCTTACATCAACCCCTTAATGTGATTTTTACACCTCGTCTAGGAGATGGGGATCATATTGTAGACATAGAACATAGGGGACCTTTATAACCTCCATTAGCCACCAGAAGACGTTATCACTCTCCCGCCGCGTTGAGGGGGGGGGAGGCGGATAATATCAACTTTGATATAATATAATAACAAATATACAAAATATGTTATACAAGGCATATAATTAAATTTTTTGATATTTTGATCGATTTATTTTAGAATAATGTTTCTTTTGCTTTGACATAATATTTTTTCGGATTCTGAGTTAGTTTCATCTTTATATTTCTTACATACAAGTTAAGTTTCCCATAGTCACTGTTTTAAATCGATTTCAGTACTTTCTATAAATATTACCCATAAGGGACATTCTTAAAAAAGAAATTAAACTTGGGAGAGTTGCTATGACATTTGCCACTCCTATTAATGAGCAAAGTCTCTTGAACCACTTGATACTGACATATGATTAATGTTTATAGATTCTATCGCACTCCACTTTTTCTTATCAACGATACCGCGTTTACATCGAAAATTTCTTTGGCTTATAACTTCCATTTCATTATTATCAATTTTTAGGTTCCTGTGGTAAAATATAAAATGCACTCATCACTTTTGTTATATTTGTATTGGGTATCAAAATTCAAAGATTATATATTGTAAAGTGTGCATAGAGCTCGCCGTTAAACAAAGATCATCAGCTAAATTGATTTGAATCTCACCACCCTGCAAAAATCCGGGCAGTTGTATTGATATTTTTTAGCTTTTTAAACATGATTTTAATTTTTTTCTTCTTCAGATAAAGATAATATTTGATCAATACAATTTAGTATTATGCTGAGCTTTTATTTTTTACGTGGGTCAAAGTACACTTATCCCCTATTGGTATATTTATTTATCCAAAATTTTTCATTGTCTAATATATTATCACTGATTTCTTTTAGACGTCATCATAAACAGTTTCTTTAAACGAGGGATACTTTGGAACTTTTTTTTGCAAATGAAATTCATCTTGAGATAATCGTAATTAATGTAAATAATATTATGTTTTAGAGATATAATGCAACACTAGTTATGTATATATCTGAAAAATTGATTCATTTAATTTAAATAAGACACTTACCGTTCAAAATTTCTAAGACAGCTCCAAATGCTTTATCTAAGAGGCAGCGTCTACATAATCTTGGGAGGGGCACGAACAGTTTGCTTTCTATTTTATAAGAGGGGGTAAGTGGTAGGAATTTAAGGGAGGTGAGATTATCTATTAAATTTTTAGATGAAATAAGGCAAAATATTTTGCCATAAAAATTAATACTTAAATTAAAGACCTATTATATTACAATAATATTGCTAAACATATCTATATACTATATACAATCATAGATTTTCTAAATAAAACTATTTCTTGATAATTTTCTACTATCCTTTTTAATGTAATTTAAACGGGTTAGACATTCTATCAGTAAACTCATCATGCCAAACAATATACTATAATATTGCATTCATTGTAAATGAGGGGATTTTTAATTTCATGTTCTAAAAAATAACTCTTTTACATTCACAATATTTTGGTAGTTGGAGAGCATTAATAATTTAAGTTACTCCTTTTATAATTTATGAAGGGATACCATAAAAGATTTTCATTAAGTGTGAAAATATCGCTTTAGATGAGTGGGTATGGATTTTTGAGGGGAGTTTGCATCCAGTAAATATCCTGTTATGTAGGCGCTAATTAATAAATCGTATTCTTTTAAAAACTCTTTATTAATATAGGAATTTGAACTGATGTGAAACTGTAAATTATTTGCGAAGGCAGCATTTGCAAACATCTTATTTTAATCTTTTTGATTATAGATTGGATAGAGCTTGTTTAGATGGAATAATTTGGGGGATGTACTTGGCATAATATTGTCCCATAAGTCGGGTAACATCTTGATTCAGTTCTTCATCAATTTGAACTATTAAAAATATCATTATTTTTGTTAATATCCTTTTTAAATTACTATTAAGATTCATTAAGATGTCTACTATTTTCAGGCACATACGTAACTGTATAATAATTTTTATTTTATCAAAATGCGTGATAATAATTATGTGATATATTTAATCATGAACATTTTTGATTTGACAAGTCAAATATTTCGATTTCGGTCAATTGGTTATATTTGGCTCGTCAATTGACAAACTTGCAAACTCAGAAAAGCATTATGAGTATCACTTATAAATTGTGATTATAGTCCAACTCAAGGTATTTATTTTTATAATCACATGACCTGTCAGATATGGCAAGGTATTAATAAAAATGACTAAATTTTATTAAAAACCATTTTTAATATATCTTAACACTAACCCATATCTTTCAAACCTTTTATTAACTCTAACCCATATCTCTCTAACCTTTAATCCTACATCTTTATTTAATTTTAGTTATATTTATCCAATTAAAAAATTTCCTTAAGTTGGGTTCTTCTTCAATTTTGCATTTTTAATATTTCAGTGCAAAAAAAATGAAAAAATAACAGACGATACCAATGTTACTCATATTAGTAGACGGAAAAGTGGTACTCGGTCAACGAGCAATGGAACGCCTGTCACATGGGTTGAAGAAGTCAATTATATTTTTGCGCTGAGTCGTTTTGCCCCAGCCGTTTCTGATTGGTTGGCGAGTAGGGATGATGTGGTAGTCCCCGATTGGTTTGGTAATCAAGCCCGGCAGTATCTAATTGACATGGGTGGGCGGGATATTTCTATCTCGCGTTGCGCCACCAAAGTTCCTTGGGGTCTGCCGGTGCCAGATGATCCATCTCAGACGGTTCATTATTTATTTAACAAGCAATCTAATCTTTTTTGCATAGATTATACAAGTTCCATCTTATTTTTTTTCTCCTTATAATTTAATAAGTTCCAACTAACATTTTTTAAGTAAAGCATGATTTTTTTTTAAATATCGCTATCAGAGTCAGTGGTCCGCAAATGGCAAAATTCTCACGGCTTGACCCGGTTTCAATTTTTCACTAAAGTTGCCTGGGGACATCCCTCTTTAAATTTTTTTTAAATACAAAGCATAACCAAGATATATGTTGTACACCAAAATAACTATTTATAATCTTGAGGAGAGGTTAAATTAAAGACACTATACTTTATGGATTTGGGATTATCACTTCTATAAAATATCAAAATTCATCAATTATATATACAAAAAAATATTTTTCCCCGGACCAGCCCAAAATTTATTTTCAAGAGCCGGGTGATCAGAGTGTTATAGATTCATTCCGCTATGGGCTTGCCATTCCTTTTCGAATTAAATAAGAATAAATATGTAATTCTCTGATGAATAATAAATTTAAATATTCTTACAAATTATTCTTAAATTTTTGAAAATAGTAAGTTTTGGTAAATATTCGAATTATTTATTAATTTTAGCATTATATGCATATTCGTAATTTAGTTTTTTTTAAAAAGCCACTAATCAAATAAGTGGGACTTTTTGCTTACTTTATAAATGGTAAGATTATAATCAGAAGTAGAGGAAATAGAGGGTTCTTTTACACCCTATGAACGTAGACACAAATATGATTATCAAAAATTGTATGATTTTAAAATATGTAGGGTTGTTAAGTTACTTTTGAAACATAACTAGTTACATTCTAGTTATTAGGTACAGTTACATTTTTATAAATGTAACTAGTTATTAGGTACAGTTACATTATAAGTTACTTTCTGGTTCTTATAAATTTTAAAATGGTCTATTAATTCTAAAAATGGGTTTCAGGTAATGTTTTAAGTATTAATGATTTTTTCACTCAAATATTTGCAAATATGATATTTATATATACAGCTGTTGCAAATATTTATTTTAAACTTATTTCAAATATGTATATTTTTTAATGTTAATTCAAATAGAACTGTATAATATTGGAGTTTTTTTGTCAAGAAAATTGTGATAATAAGAATAATAATGGAATGGTATTAGATAATTTATTTTTTATTTAATTATATATGCATGCATCCTATGATATAATTTGGAAAACACTTTAGATCAAAATTTTAAATTTTATTTAAAATTAATTTATCACAAAGTTAGTCCCTTGGAACCAAGGTTTACCCCTCGCTTGGGATTATACATATGTAGATCGTTTTGCCAGATCTTTTACTGTTAACTCATTCACTAAGGCCGAAAATACAAAAAATAAATATAGCCACCTTAATAATCTTTTGTTTGTTCTGGTAGTCTCAGACACCTGTGGATGATTTGGACTCCAAGCTAAAATTATTAAATAATAGTGCAAAGGTTACATCACAGGTGATCCAAAATAAGGCTTCTACCTACAACAAAGAATATCATTAAATTTGTCGATCCAACTGTATATTTATACATGGGTCATTAAGCCCCACCGACCAAACATAATTTTTTTTTATTTCTCTTCTTTTAATTACATCTCATCTATAATATTTATAAAAGCCTTGTCACAGTCACGTGTCACAATTTATTATATATTTAAAAATTCACCATTTTTTAAAAACGTCGTGGCCTAATCGCCAAGAGCGTCGTTTACAAATATGAGGGTCATGGGTTCGAATTAACAAAGATTTTTTTTTCTTAATCCAACTTGGTATACTTTTTTTTAAATTATATTATTTTTTTAATTTTTCTCAATAATTAATTTTGCTAGATGAGGGTTTTTTATATTGTTATCATGGAAACAGATTTAGGATTTCTTATTAAGAATGATTCTTTTAAAATTGGCTTCAAGAAATTGAAAACCGATTATGAGCATCACAGATTGTTCCATCATCAAGATACCAAATATTTATGTCCATATCAAATTTAGGCTTAAGATAATGGATGAGATAATGAATACCAAGTGTGCCCTCTGCTGGATCCTTTCGTCAGAATCTAAGCCATGTGTGCCGAATAAAGGAGTTTTAATGTTCCAGTATGTCACTAGGAATTTTGAATAAACAGTAAATTTGGGATAAAAGCAAATTATGAAATGTTCACGAAATTTGCTATTGAAAGCATTTCTAAAGTTTACTTTGATAATATTCATGTTAGGAGGATTTTGGATATAATACAAATGGCATGTGAAGCTATTTTGCCTTCTCCCTTAACACCAAATCCTAATTGATACGTATATTTAATAAAGTTAAGACCCTGGGTTTTGACCCTTGGCAATTATTTTTGCTAAAAATCTTCTAAATAGTTCATTACAGTGGGGTGGATATCACCACAGTGTTTGTGAGATAATCAGGTTTGCCCCCATAATTGATTCGAATATATGATAGCAGGTCTTTTTTTAAAGAGTATTTAGGAAGGTTTTAAAAGCATTTAGATGATTTTGAGATTAATGTAGATTTTATACGAAGTGAGAGGGCAAAAACTATTGCGTCTAGATGTGGAAAATTTCTTAAAAGAATTGATAAATATCAAAACTCACAAATCATGTTTTTTTTATTATATATTTTCCATAATATGTTTAGCCATTTTCTCCAAAAATTTATAGAAATCTTGGAAGAATGAATACGGATAATCTATTCCTCTCATTTGACTATTCTGATTCATCCATAAGAGAAAATTCTGATTCCCCGTCATTCTTGACGGGCTATCAGCTAGTATTTTTATAAAGTTATAGTATATTAATTATAATTTTAATATTCTTTTAATAAATGATCAATTCACATATTAAAAATAAAATTAATTATTTGAATATATTATTTAGATTTATACATACATATTTTTAGAAGTAACTAGTTACTTTTGGCAGTTACATTTCACAAAATATAACTAGTTACAATTTATAAAATACAACTAGTTACAGTTATTTTTTAGCAATAAGTTACAGGTAAATATAGTTACTTTTAACTAGTTACTTTAATAACACTAAAAATAAGTAATAATTAAGATTTGGAAAATGGCTTTTTTATCAATTTGTTTTTAAAATATTATAAAGATATCTTAAATTGTTAATTATTCAAAAAACATGTTTGAATTTTTTTTTGTGTACTAATTAAAATGTAAAATAAATTAGTCCATCCTCTTTTAAAAATAATCTTAAAAAATGAATACTAAATTATTAGATTCGAAATTTACAATTTGGATACGAATACTTTATTATTCAATAGATTTTTCTGGAGGCTTATTCCAATATTAAAAGGATCATCTAATCCTATTTAAATAAAGGGTGCTTTTAACCATATTTTTACTATACCAGAGCTAAGATAATTTTCTAGGCACGACCAAATGATATGTTGTCAAAAAATATGCAACATTACACTTAACTATTTTTTTTGTTGTCATAAAATAATTTTATATTCATTTTAAGTTAATGAAGACCTTTTGAAATTATAATAATTATTAATTAGAAGTTAATGGTGTTCTTCATTTTTATTCTCTTAAATCTCCCTAGTTCTATCTTTCTCATATATATTAGATCTATGTATGGTTTGATGCCCTTGCCAGCTACTTAACCGCTTCGGGATTCGAACCGGAGCTGACCTCATCTGATAGTTTAAAAAAGCAACCCAGTCGCTTTTACTGGCCACCAACTCATCAATACGTGGGTAAGGACATTCTCAAGTTTCATTGCGTATTATGGCCGGCCCTTCTTATAGCAGCCGGCTTGGATCCACCACGTCAGATTATATGTCATTCTCATTGGCTAGTGGATCATCAAAAGGTTTGTTGTTATAAAGATTGGTATCATATTTTGAAGGGGAAGGGGAAAAATGCAACTATTCATAGCACCTATACATCTATTTGATTTACTATATTAGTTTATTTTAGATCATCTAACATATTGATAATTTCTACCATTTCAAACACTCCAAATTTCGGAGTAATTATTTTTGAAAATTTATTTAATCATAAAGATGTCCAAGAGTTTTGGAAACTCCGTGGACCCTATTACAGCCGCTCCACTTTTTGCCGGACTTAGCGGTCTTCGGTACGCACTTATACGAGGCTCTGCTGAACTATCACAAGACTCTAATTATGATCCAACTCGGCTTCGGTCTTTAGTCAGTGCGGACTTGGCTAACACCCTGGGCAACCTACTTAACCGGGCTGCCTCTATAAATGCCTCCTTCGGTCACTTAAATTTTGCAGAATCACAACCAGGATCCGACTTACCCTCCTTTTACCTCGACCTGCAGGTTCGTCTTTTATCTCTCCCCAATCATTTTGAGAACCGTTGCAGCCCGCAAATACACCGCTTTGATCGCGCCATTGAAGACGCCCTCGAGGCTGTTCGGGCATGCAACTTAGCCTTCGAAATCGTTCGCCCTTGGGACTCTAATGCTGCATCACCGTCGAATACGACTCACCTTCTTGTCGCCACTCACAACCTCTTGAGAGTCGTGGGTCTTCTTTTTTCTCCTTTTGCGCCTGCCCTCGCATCAGAGTTATTGGACCGCCTGGCCGTCTCGCACCGGGACCGCACCTGGGTTCGCGCCTGCCAATGGGATGATTTTAATCGTTCATACCTGCCCGAATTTGACGCTCGGTCAAAGGAACAACACCAAGAGCGAAAAGTTTTTTACCCAAGATTGAGATGACCAATAAAAAACGACTATATAACTAAACTGATTTCTTCTCATTATCATGGATGATAAAATCTTTTTACTATCTCTTCATAATTGTTTTTAAAATGATGGATGTTGAAATTGATAAAAAGTGAAGTTTTTCTGTTTTTTTTGTTATGATTTATTATGACATCTTTCTCCAAATTAATTTTTTAAATAAAACAATTGTTTATATCTTTTTACCCTAAAAAGATTTAAAACTGCTCCTACTTGTTCAAACAAAGGAATATAATAATCATGCACTTATAATTTTCCGAGGATATGAAATTTTAATTTGAGTATTAGCAGTACCCATCATATCCGGCCGGTTTAAATAGAGATTTTTTTTAATATTCCGGTCTGGATTTTCTGGTTATTCTAAAAACAATGACATTGACTGCATTTTATAAAGAGTTTTAAAGGGAAATTAAAATTTTAAAAGCGAAATCTAAATCATTCATGTTTTTCACTGGCTATTATTTAAATTTTTAAAAAATCAGTTTGGTCTGGGTTTGTGTTTATAAAAAATATAATTTAAGCTTGTCACTGGCTTTTCAAAGTTATATCATTTTACGGGCCTGCTACTTTCTGATTATTAGCATAACATTATTTTTAATGATGGTAAATTATCTATAATATAATATTGATATTTTGATTAGGGACTTATTTAGATTTAATACTCAAAAATATACTATTTAATTAAAAAATTGGATGTAAGCCTCTAAATGAATAAGGCAAGAGGAATAAAATTTTCTAAAATAATTTAGGCAAAAATTTTCAATTTTTTTCCCATTAAATTTAACATGGATTTAGGAAAGGGTTTTCATGATGTTATTATATAATTTATTATATAAATAATTGTTTAAACTTTGCTCCCCCTAATTCAATATTTCACTAATATTTTTTAACTAAAATTTCGTCAATTTAATATACAAACAAATATTTGCTTCTTAAATTTAAGGGGATGGTTGAGGACTCTAAATATAAATAAGATTTTATACCCTAACTTAATTTAAACCAAAAGTTGAATTGGACTTGAACCCTATAAGAAAAAACGATTTATAATAATCAAAATCTATTTTAATGTAATTGTATAAGGTTTCGAATTTTATATTGACGACACTTATATATATTATATATAACTTTTACCCTGGGAAAGGGGAAAAGTTTTGCTAATTGGGTGATATGCTAAACGCAGATGGTGGTGTAAATTCTGCTGTTATTTGTATAGGTCACACAAGCATGGAAGAAATTCAGATTGATATCGTCTATTCTAAGAAATAAAAACGTCAAGGGGAAAGTACGTAAGCTGCGGAGGAGTTGTTTAGTTTATGGTGGCGAAACATGGACAATGAAGTGGCCCACGAAGCCAAATTGGAAAGAACAGAGATTAATGAATGTGTGGGATATCTCTGAGAGAGAGAAAAATTAGCAAGGAATTGGGGGCAAGAATTGGAATAGAAGTTATTAAAGTAGTAATGAGAATAAATCGACTAGGATGGTTTGGGCATGTGAAACTTAAGACAAAATATGATTACTATACTCTGGACCGTCAAAAATGGAAAAGAAAAATCAGAGGGGAATTGGATAAACGGAAAAGAAGAAGATAATATATAACTTATTTTCATTAATATTTAAATGTATACCAAGCTTTTACTCTTAGAAAAAAATCAGAAACCATTATTTGTAAATTTTGATTTATTATAACAGATAACAAGCTTGTAAATAAATATTAATCATCTTTTGTTGCATATAAGAAATATAATATGATTTTCATAATTAAAAAGTTTAAAAAAATATAATATATATGAAATGATTGGGTAAACAATTTTTAACGTGAGAGGGTAAGTTTATCTGAAATAAATATCCTTAAAATGTGACATATTTGTTCACAAGTTATTTTATAAGAAGGGTATATGTAAATATAATTTTTTTAAAAATCAGAAACATATCTTCAACATCTAATAACTTGCAATCATTTTTTATAAAAGACAATATAATAAGTTACAAAAAGTTTATCAATGTTCCGTTCTTAGCCTCTGTACGGTTTCTTGTTACATCTTCTTGCGCGTACTCAGTCTGATTAATATCGGAACTTATAAATATAAATTTTTGTAAAATGAAAACAAAAAGAGAAAGGGAAAGAAAGCTTTGTTTTAATTCCTCCATTAAAATTAATAAGCGATAAATATCACTTATATCCCTTCTTTTTATGATATTTTAGGTTGACTTATGGAGTTATATTTGCAGTCCATTAATTCATGATATAATGTTTTTTTTAAATTAAAACTTAATTGAATTAAATTATCAAAATAAGATTACTCCTAATTTATTACTTTATACTGTATCATTTAAAAAGTGTATACCTAATATGGAGGTTAAAATGGTGGCTATAACTAGACCCAGAACCAGTTTAAACTAAAATAAGTATATAAATTATGTAAATTGTAAATTGACATTGAAAAATCATAATAAATAAAAGGTCATTAAGAGCTTATTAATGTTTTACCTAAACTCAGATAAAATGGTTCGTTTTAAATATAATCTTAAAAATCCTCTTCCCAATTTTGATAAACTTATAATTTTCCAGGTGTTTAAAATAAAGCCTTAATTAATATACATTCTTTATATAACAGCCAATCTGCATTGTTATTACTCATCCAATAATAAATAAATTTTTTTAAAAAAGCCATGAAGTATGTTAATATTAACAGAATAAAGCTTTAACTGGAGAAATTAGTTTTATTAAAAATTCTTTCAGACATATTGAACACAATTTCAAAAAACAGCTGTAAAATATATAGACTATAAAAAGTATCACTACCAGGGATGAGAACCTGAACCCTCGATATTTAGTTGAACCTAAACCCGAACCCTTTTTTAAAATTTAGGGTTCAAGGTTAAAGGTTTTTTTAAAAAAAATTTATTTTTTTTATTTTAAACTTTCATTTTATTTATTTTAAATTATGATAAAAATAATATAATATTAAAACTTACGTTTTCATTTAATAAAGATTTCCTATTTAAAGCAATTTTTTAATTCAAAAAAAATATTTTTTTGTGGAATCATTTTTGTTATATTTAAGAGTCAGCTATTTTTCGTAAATATTTTTAAATTTTACCTAGCAAAGCAAATTTTAAAAGTTTTTTTTTATAAATGATGATAATATATAATATCTATTTTAGGATATTATTGTTTGTAGATTATTTTTTATAATTATGATGATAAATTATTTTTATAGCAATACTAATTAAAATAAATTTAAAAAAAAATATTTCTGTTATTTTAACTAATTTTAATAAATCATTATTTTTCTAGTTTAACACTGAACTCGAACCGGGTTCAGAGATTTATCACTGAACTCGAACCGGGTTCAGAGATTTATCACTGAACTCGAACCGGGTTCAGAGATTTATCACTGAACCCGAGATTTTTTTAGAAGGAGGGTTTACTTTCCTGATCACTACATGAAAACTTAATGGAGCTGTTTTTTAGAATCATTCATCTATTGTGGTAAATTTCACTAATTCCATATCAAATATTAGAAAAGAAAAATCTATAAAAAGTGGACAGATTTTTGATCTGAAGCCTCTGCCCAAAATATAAAATCTTGACAGTGGTATATATAGAGAATTTTAGGGCCATAAATAATACTTTTGCATCTAAAAATAAGACAAGATTTTTGTAAAAATTTAGCGCCTTAAGTAAACCGATCCAGATTGGTCGGTTTAACCGTTAATTTTAAAATTTATTAACCTAATTCAAACCTCGACCAAATTTTGAATTTTTTATTATCCTTTAGCTCTTAAAATATTCCGCTTTGAAATATAGTAGTTCATAAAAAACAAATACTCGGATTGGATTTTCTGACAACAATTTTTTGAATTTTTTTTCGAATGTGTTGAACGAAATAATAAATCCCATTTGAATTTTAATTCAACTGTCATTTATATTTTGCTTCATTTATAGAACTGTGAACATGAAATTTTAATTGTTATACATAAATCAAAAACCACTACTTTGATATAAACGACTTAAAAAAATAACACATTATCATAAAGTCAGGGCGTTAATATAAGGTAATAATCTAAATTGGCATACATAATATCAGGTTTATAGCCATTTTATTTTTTTACTCTGAATCTTTTCCACCATTCATGATGTTGATCGTTAGTGAGCATAATCTTTTTATTATTTTGACCACCTAAATTGAAATACAATAATTCTTGTTTAGATAAATTTCTGGGTAATCATGCAATCAAGAAGATTTGATATTAGAGATCTGCAAGACGTCCCGAACGGGTATCTGGTCGCGTCGGGTTTATTTTTAAAAAATAACTTCGGTTCGGGCTGTGTCGGGCCTAATATTTTTCAAAAATTTCGGGTCGTGTCTAAATTTCCAAATATGATATCATTACATTTGTCAAATAAATTGATATTTTAAAATCTTGCAAGAAACAAGGCGCTAATATTTTTACAATCAAAAAAATTATTAAATTTTTATGTATCTAAATAAAATCGGGCGGACAATTAAATTTTAGGGTCGGGCTTTTCATAGCAAAAAATATTTCAATCGGGCCGGGCAGAGCAGGTTTTTTTTTAAAAAAATCGGTTCTTGTCGTGCTTGAAAAATTAGGCCCTATGCAGATCACTAATTGTTATAAAAAATAATGAAAATCTAAACTATAAAATTAATTTATAAATAACATTTATATATAATCAAAAATGCTTATAAAGGAACATCAAGCGCTTATTTTAAAGAGACCGAATATTGCAGCATTCTCTGGTAAAATTTTCATTTTTATTAGTAACTTATAATGAAAGGGCAGCCTAATCAAAATCACAAATTGACCCCTATCTTGTTTGCATAATAGCGGTTTAATAAATATAGAATGTTTAAAAGATACAGTTATCTAAAAACTATAAAAAATTTGCTAGGATCGCATAAAATATATAAGTATTCTGTCCTACATAATTGTTGAGCGGCTTCTTCCAATTCCTTGTAGGATGCACTTTGATGAATTAAAGTAGTTCTTGGTTTGTAAATCTCTAATGTAATCTTTTCCGATTTTCTACCGTCATAATTTTTGATAGATTTTTCTTCGATGGTAGCCCGTTTATAATGGCCATGACTCATTGGCCTTAAGTGAAATCTATATTAATTTTTTAAGCATCTAATAAAATAAATTTTTTAAATAATTTCTCCTGAAATTAATTACGAGATAAATTTTTTTAAAAAGAAGCTAAATTTATTTTAAGATGAAAACTTAGTTGTCAGATAAAAATTCTAAAAAATATATTCAAGAAACTTATATTTATTCCAAATCCCATAACTAAAAATAAAACGGATAATTTCTGTGCCTATGGAAAAACCTGGTTTCATTTTTTGGACGAGTGTATAACTCTCGTTTATGGCTACCAGCAGATACACTGGGTTCATTTGAGCTCGGTGCAACTCCACTATCAACTACCAACATCTTTTTGGTTTCGGGGATGTCATGTTTAATGATCTTTACGTCGCTCAATTTCTTCTCTCTTATAAAGTCTTTGGGCATTCTTTATTTTATAATTTTTTGATCAATACAAATATTATAAATCTTTAATTAGATAAATGTTTTCAAAAATGTTACACCCCCCCCCCCCACCCACACTTCTTTTTTTTTGGGCTCTCGATACTTATATAGCGAGACAGATAATAACCAGATATGATATACACCGATATCACTTTTTTGCCCATACCAATACATCCGAGTTCTGCTTTTAAATAACTAAATTTATTCGACTAAGACAAAAGTTGTTTTTGGTTGTAAAATACTCCATGCGACCAAATTAGTCGACTAAGTTAAAATAAAATTCTTATAATTTATTTTATTGAATTCCTTATATTAAAAAATAAAAGATATATGGCTCCTAATTTACTATGAATAAATAATGTAAAAAAATCTTCCTACCAAAAATAAAAAATATTAAAGCTAATCGACTAATTTGGGTTGTTCGAGTTTTTGGTCGGGTTACTACGACATTTAATCGTGGTCGTAAGAGAAATCAACTAATAACAATACTATTGCCGAGTATCGAATAAATATTTATATTAAAAAATGACTTAAAACATATACAAAATAATATTTTATTTAAATTCATTAATTTTTTTTAGATTATAATTAAATCTTGCCCTATCTAAATTTTTCAGGTCCAACTCCCCTAAATTATATTTTAGAAATTGGTCCGATGCGATTATGTATGCTTTTTTAACCTAATCGGGAAAATTTGTAGAAATAAACAATTTTATTATTATTCTTGAAAAAAATATTCATAAAAACAATAGGATATAAAATATTACTTAAAATTTTGTCGAGGCCCGAGTTTCTAAAATCAAGATCCGAATTCGACCGAGTCGAGAAAATGTCTACCCAATTCCCACCTATCCAAGTTCAATCGGATCGGACATAGATCTTTTTTCACTCAGTCGACGGAAATATTATAGTAAAAATTTCCATTACTTAAAAAAAAAAGGTAATAAGAGCTATAAAAATATTTAAATATATATTTGAAAAAACCAGCGAGGGGCAACGTTTTTAAAAGATTTTAAATAAAAAATAAAAATGCACAAAAAAATTAACAATTTTTACAATAAATTATAATAAAATATTTTTTTAGTGTAAAATTAAATCAAAAAATAATTTATCCATCCTAATTCGGCATCGGCAAAAAATATCGGGTGGATTTCATTATTGTGTATCGATATATCCTGACAATAACTTAATCACATTTTATTTAAAATTATCAATTTTTATTTTTTTAAATGTATAGTATTCGCTATTAACTTTTATTTATGCTATCTGCCACAGACCTGCAGAGGCACTATTTGTACAGCCGGTGCGAGTTTTATATTCTTCCCGGCCCTTATTTTTGTTTAAAAAAAAACTTCGATCAGGGTGTGTCAATTTTTACTTTCCAAAATCTAAATATTTTTGACTAAACTGAGAATTGACATCATCTACTCAAAAAATAATGACGGAAACTTAAATATTTTTTCATTTTCTGTTTATATGAGTAAGTTTACAAAAAATGAGTCAAAAAAATAAAATATTTTTAAAATCTCAAAAATCTAAATATTTTTTTAAAATCGCCAAAATCTAAATATTTTTGACTAAACTGAGAAGTGACATCATAACTCAAAAAATAATGACGGAAAATTAAATTTTTTTTTATTTTATGTTTATATGAGTAAGTTTACAAAAAATGAGTCAAAAAAATAAAATATTTTTAAAATCTCAAAAATCTAAATATTTTTTTAAAATCCCCAAAATCTAAATATTTTTAACTAAACTGAGAATTGACATCCTAACTCAAAAAATAATGACGGAAACTTAAATTTTTTTTCATTTTATGTTTATATGAGTGCTATTTCTACGTAAACGGAAATTTTAATAACATGAATAGAAAAAATAATAATTATATTTTGAAATAAAGAGGTTGCTCGTAGCATAAACTCCTTCCTACAAAAATTTTTTTTTATTTATTTGATTTTTTCATTGTAATTATAAAATTTAACTCATATGATTTATAAAGATTTAAATAAATAAAATAAAAATAATTTCAAAGCGGAGTTGAAAAAATAAAATAAATAAAACAATGAATTAGATGCAAAAAAATTTAAAAAATCCCCCACTCCTTAATTAGGTGCCAGACAGGCGATTTGGTTTTTTATTTTATTATAAAATTAATTTCTTTTTTTTATTTAAAATTTTTTGAAATATTAAATAATTTTTTATAAAAAAATGTATAATATTGCCTACAAATTTTTAAAGGAGATGGAAATGGAAGTTAAATTTAGGGGAAATGTTACTAGAAACCTCTTTATTTCCAAACAGGACTAATTTTAGGATTGATTTTTCCATTCATGTTATCAAAATTTCCGTTAAAAAGAATTTAAAAATCTTAAAACTTAATTTGGTAATCTAGCAGATATTTTTCTCTTAATATTGTACAAAGTTAAAAATAAAATGTTAAGATCCAGACTAAACTTGAGTCGTGAACTCGAGTTATGAACTCAAGTCGTGAACTCGAGTTATGAATTTGAATCGTGAACTCAACAGTTATCTTAAATTTTATGAAACTTGATTACTTATATAGTGTTGTTAATTGGTTGGTTGGCTCTAAAAATCTGCTATGAGCACGAACCCCGATCACAGATCCGTGGTTCAGGCCCATATATTTTAATTTAAGTTATTTCTTATTGAACTTATTATAGTATATAAATATATGGTTATTAGAGATAAATCGATTGATAATTAAAATACCTATTGAATAGGCAAAAAGTCAAGCGCCACTTCTCAATGAGTGAAATTATTTCTACGTAGGTCAGGAATAATTTTATCAAAATCAAATATTGATATGATAATGGATGGGTATCAAATAAATATAGTTTCTACCTTTATATGGTGTATATTAATTTGACCGGGAATAAAAAATAAATATGGTTACTCATATTTGTTCGTGAAAATTTTTTTTTTAGCATTGCACTTAATGGGCATGTCTGGATCTTAACATTTTATTTTTAACTTTGTACAATATTAAGAGAAAAATATCTGCTAGATTACCAAATTAAGTTTTAAGATTTTTAAATTCTTTTTAACGGAAATTTTGATAACATGAATGGAAAATCAATACTTAAAATTAGTCCTGTTTGGAAATAAAGAGGTTTCTAGTAACATTTCCCCTAAATTTAACTTCCATTTCCATCTCCTTTAAAAATTTATAGGCAATATTATACATTTTTTTATAAAAAATTATTTAATATTTCAAAAAATCTTAAATAAAAAAAAAGAAATTAATTTTATAATAAAATAAAAAACCAAATCGCCTATCTGGCACCTAATTAAGGAGTGGGGGATTTTTTAAATTTTTTTGCATCTAATTCATTGTTTTATTTATTTTATTTTTTCAACTCCGCTTTGAAATTATTTTTATTTTATTTATTTAAATCTTTATAAATCATATGAGTTAAATTTTATAATTACAATGAAAAAATCAAATAAATAAAAAAAAATTTTGTAGGAAGGAGTTTATGCTACGAGCAGCCTCTTTATTTCAAAATATAATTTTAGGAATTATTTTTTCTATTCATGTTATTAAAATTTCCGTTTACGTAGAAATAGCTTCACTCAAAAAGTGGCGCTTGAATTGTTGCATATTCAATAGGTCTTTTAATTATCTATCGATTTATCTGTAATAAATAACCATAGATTTAACTAATAAGTTCAATAAGAAATAACTTAAGGTACATGGGCCTCGTGCTCATAGCAGATTTAGTCTAATTTTAGAGCCAAGCGCCAGGTCTGGGTACTACACAACCAACCAATTAACAATACTAATATATGTAATCGAGTTTCATAAAATTTAAGATAACCTGTTGAGTTCACGACTCAAGTTTATGACTAGTTCACGACTCAAGTTCATAACTCGAGTTCATGACTCAAGATCAAAACTCAAGTTCATGACTCAAGATAAAAACTCAAGTTCACGACTCAAGTTCGGAACTCGAGTCGTAAAAATGAGTCGACTAATCGACTCAAAACTCGACTTGAGTTTTGAGTCTGAATAATTTCTTAAATAAACATGAGTGAAAACTCGAATTTAGGGTTTTCAGATAATTCTTATTTGTTAGAATTTTTTATGATCAATTCGAAACACCAAAATAAAAAAAACCATTTATCATTTATTTATTCTATGTAAATAAAATATTACACAATATAAATCAATTATACAAATTCAATCATTTAAAGGATTGAATCGAATTCCCTCTTCAAAAAACTTTATGGTGTGAGAATAAAAATTTGAAAAATTATATGTAAAATAATTGCCTAAAATACTCGTAACAATTGAAATAACTTCATTTCGGTTGTTGGGTTTAAGAGAATTTGATCTATATTGATTTTTAATTACTCCGAAAAAATTTTCTATCGGATTTAATTGCGGCGAATAGGGTGGAAAAATATGATATTTGGAGAATTCTCACTAATTATCCTCGCTCGATGTATGGGAGCATTATCCATTATAAGTAATGAATTTGATTGATGGTAAAAGTGCGAATAATTGATCCAGGTATGCCTTGAATTTTATCGCAGTAAAAGCCCCATCTATTGTGAATTTTTTCAATCCACTTATTCCTATTGTGCATAGGTTACCGGTATTTTATAAAAATATAATGTTTTTCTCAAAATTTTCTTTCAAGTTTTTAAAAGTTTTTTTAAAAAAGGATGTATTTTTCTCAAAATAATTACGGAAAGTTAAATTGAAGTGTCGGGGCTTCCGTTATGGGTAGAATGATTGGTGGCACATCTCGATGATTTTTGGTATGCGTCATTTAGGTTAATAAAAGCAACTACAACAATTAAATTTTAAATTTTATTTAATTTTAAAACCAAAAAAAAATATAAAAAATAAGAATTATCTGAAAACCCTAAATTCGAATTTTCTTTCACTTATGTTTATTAAGAAATTATCTAATTTCTTATCCTGATTTCCTTCTTTAGATAACTAAAAGTAACATTAATATATTGTAATAATACTTTAAATTTAAAAAAATTTACAATGCATTTTAAAAAAAAATTATTCTAAAAATCTTATAAAATTTTTATCTTGGGTCCAAAACATAAAAATTTTTTATTCGATTCATAACTTTGACGTTAATCTTCATTAAGTTTAAAAACTCTTATTATTAAAAAAAATTAAAAAAAATTATATCAAAAATTTTTAAAAATTTTATCAAAATGTTTTTACAATAATTATGGAAAGTTATTTAACTATATAAGAATGTTTTTTCACATTATGAAATGTGTTACAACAAATCATATTATTACTGATGAGTAAGTTTACACAAAATGAGTCAAAAAAAAAATATTTTTAAAATCCCAAAAATCTAAATATTTTTGACTAAACTGAGAATTGACATCATAACTCAAAAAATAATGACGGAAACCTAAATTTTTTTTTATTTTATGTATATATGAGTAAGTTTACACAAAATGAGTCAAAAAAAAATATTTTTAAAATCCCAAAAGTCTAAATATTATTGACTAAACTGAGAATTGACATCATAACTCAAAAAAATAATGACGGAAACTTAAATTTTATTTTATTTTATGTATATATGAGTAGGTTTACACAAAATGAGTCAAAAAAAAAATAAAATATTTTTAAAATCTCAAAAATCTAAATATTTTTTTTAAATCCCCAAAATCTAAACATTTTTGACTAAACTGAGAATTGACATCATCTACTCAAAAAATAATGACGGAAACTTAAATTTTTTTTCATTTTATGTTTATATGAGTAAGTTTACAAAAAATGAGTCAAAAAAATAAAATATTTTTAAAATCTCAAAAATCTAAATAATTTTTTTAAATACCCAAAATCTAAATATTTTTGACTAAACTGAGAATTGACATCATAACACAAAAAATAATGATGGAAACTTAAATTTTTTTTCATTTT